TTAAAATATAAATACAATTAATAAATAAAAACAAAAGTCAAAACAAACAAATATTTAATATTGATAATTTTATGTGATTTATCTATTTATAATATTATAGTATTAAATCTTAAAACATTTTTTTTTCATTTACAATATAATAAAAAATAATATTAACTAATAATATCAAAATTAGAAGCTAGTCTGATTCGAACTTATTTTGAGAGTAATATGATGAAATTGGTTATTATTGAAAAAGTAAAAACAAATAAGTGTCTGTGAAGTGATGAATATTAAGAGATAAGCATGAGTTTGAGTATGTGAAAGAGAAGCGTAGAGGAACATGCATATGTTGTTTTGGTCATGTGAGTGATGGAATGGAGTGCAGGTCTCTACCTCTTATCTCTTCACTAATTGCTTGAAAGTTATGTCTCTTTCAGAGCACTCTTTCAATTAATAATTGAAATTCAATTTTTTCTAGACGTAAGGATCATTAAAGTTAGGTTCGTCAAATTTCTGAGGACATAATGTGCTTAAAAAATTGATGAATCATAACCCAAACAAACCTACCAAAGCCGTTGACGTAAATGATATTAAATGAATTTTTGTCAAGGGAAGAGTTATGACGGTAGCGTTGAGCTGGGCCCTTGAGGGCTGTCCCTGTGTTGCAGTTTTGCTTGGGCCTTGCATATCTCCTGAAGCCTCTTCTATTTTGTACTTATGTGTCTGTTCTAATCTATAAAAATTACAAAACATGAAACATAGATAGAAAAAACATGGCACGTGTGGCACAGACAAATATAATTTATATGAATTTAAGTATTTAATAAAAAAATTCGTATATAAATATTCATAAGACCACATGAAAAAAAGATAACAAGAATTATAACTGCAGATATTTTAAGCTGTTAATATTTCTTTTACTCTTGTGTTATCTAGTTTTTTTAAAAAAAAAAACATTATCTCTAATAAATTTTTCAGAAATATTTTTTATTTACATATATCTTTTATAAGAAAGAGTTTTTTTATCTGTACTTGTTTTTAAAAATACTTTTTTTTTATTTTTGGGTAATCATAAATTATTTAAAATATTTATTGTTTATTTTAAGAGAGTTAAAGTTTATACTCACTTGGACTATCTTATTTTGTAATCGTTGTAAATTAGAAATGGCAAAACTTGTTATATATTTTTAAGGATAATAAAACCATTTAAGATTGTTTAAAGAAAAATTGGATGTAAGAAATGCATTAGTATAAAAATAAGTATTCTTATTGTCTTTTTAGTAGTTTTCGAAAAGCTTTTTAAAAATCTGCATTCAAAGTTAACTCTAAATTGTAAAAAAAATCTAATCAAATTCTCTTGATTAGAGTTTATCTATTATTTCAAAAATGAAAAACAATCAACTGGAGATGGATCCGTACAATAAAATACTAAATAAAATTCATAATGTTAAAAAAAAGAAAAAACAATGAAGTCACATTAATGAAGTGTGAAGATGGAAAAACAAAGGAAAAAAATGACGTCAGAATACTGAAGTTAAAATATGAAAGTTCAGTTAAAAAAAACAAAGGAATAAAAAAAGAGAAAAATAAACAAATGCATAGATCGAATCCATACCACAAAAAAATAAACATAAACATTGAGAGAGAGACGGAGAGAGTGAAAGCAAACATGGGAGACAGAGATATTGAAAGATGAAGTGCATAGATAGTACAGAAAAGGAAATTTCCAAATAATATTCAGTTGATTTAAATGTTTATTCGTCTTCGTCTTCAGGTTAAGAGGTGAATTTTTGTTAGTACCCCCCATTTTAAAAATAAAGACATTGAGTTCCTATATTATGAAAAGTATATGAATAAGGTTTTATCCATTAAGTTGACAACAACAACGTTACGTCCATGCTGATGTGACCGTACTTTTTCTCTTCTCTCTTCTGCTGTCCAGTTTTTTCTCTCTCTTGTTCAATTTTTTTTTTATGATTTGTTGAACTTGTTATTTCTTTATGCACTTTATTCATATATTTTTTTTCATAACATAGGGACCAATGTCTTCATTTTTAAAACCGGATACTAAGCAGACTCTTAACATGAGACGAAGTAAGCATCTACTCTGTTCCATTATGCACAAATGAAACTCTGGTCCAAATAAAATTTCCAAACGTGTTACTTGCCTCTGAATTGCAAATACAACAATTTTTCATACAGAATGGCCTCTCTTCAACTCCAGTACCTTCTCACATCTATAAATAACTATAAGAGACATCGATCATGCTGCTTCCAATATTGCAACATGCACAGCGTTAGTTTCTATTCTGTATAGCGTCAGTCTCTCTTATCACGTTATCTTACTTAGGCCTTGTTCACTTTAATGGATTTGGAGGAAAGTAATTGAGGGGATTTGAGAGGATTCGAAGATAATTTTTTTTTTTTGTTTATTTGAGTAAATTTGGAGGTAAATGAGTGTGGATTTGGAAGTAAAATTTGTGAGAATTAGTGTAAGATTTTATTGACATGACAAATTAAAAAAATTTACTTCAAAATTTACTTCAAAATCCACTTTCATTTACCTCCAAATTCACTCAAATAAACAACAACAAAATTTATCTTCAAATCCCCTCAATTACTCTCCCCGAATCCATTCAAATGAACAAGACGTTAAGGATTTAATCAAATTATTTAAATTTTCATAATTCTTTCTCATTCATGTTATTTATTTTTTAAATATTGAATTCTGTCAATACTAAAATACTAACTTTGTCATAACATCTGTTATATTTTTATTAGTGTACTTTTTTTTTCTATATTCACAATTTTTTTCTTCTACTATTTTTCAAACAATTGGTAGCGTACACCTATGTATATTTTTTTTTCTTGAAATGAAAGATAATATTCTTTATATGTGCAGGATAGTCTTACTATCACAATCATAATATATGAATTTTTTAATGTTTGTGTTTGAGTTTCTTCGTTAACCTTTAAATTAATGTAGCATCTTATGGGTTATTATCGTATACTCAAACTTATTTAATAGACAAAACTATAACATCATGTAACTTGAATAAATAATTTAGTGTTCCTCCTATTAGAGATGACAACAAAATTCATATCTGCATATCAAATCTGTAATAAATATTAAATAAATATTATTAATAAAAACTTGAGGTTATTAATATGGAGATTTAACTACTTGATTATGAAACAAATACAAATATTATGATATCTTACTTACATATGCTAATGATTATATTTTGGTATAATTCAAATCAAATTAATTATTCAATAAAATATTAATATAAAAAAATTTATTTTAATTATATCTATGGATACATTCACATTCCTAAAGTTTTATTGGTTGGTTCGAAGTTCTTCTCATCAAACTTACAATTGAAACTATACCACTAACATCTTATCCACATATAATAAAATCATTATCATAAAATCTATCATAATAAATAAATATAATGGTCTAAACTTAATACACAAGGGAGGGGTCAAATCTTTTTGTAACAAACACTTAGATGCCATTAATTTGGTCAATTTGCAAATCAAACCTTTTTCTTCTTCTTTAGAATCTTTTGGTTCCTGGTCATTTTCTGCAAAAACTATATCTTTTAAAAAATAACCTCATAGATGGTGGAATCTCATATTATACCCTTTGCTTTTAGTGAATATAGTAAAATTCAATAAAAAGATAAATTCTTTAGCACTTTTTTATCGTCAAGCAAGAAAAATACTTTATGTTATTCACTTTCATATACAAATAACGTTTTAAATTTAACTCAATTGTACGAAATTGATTTTTAAATGAAATTTGCATTGATTTATATTCCATCTTTTTTAGTTGGCATTGAATATCCAACAAAACTTAACTCCCACGCAGCAGAAAGAGATGAAAATAAGTGACCAAATTAATATCGTGGAGTGTATAGAAATGTGAAGTTCATTCTGTGATAGCAGACAAACAACAACCAAACATAGTTGTTTGCAGGTTCCCAATCATGTTACCTCAGTACTAGGTACAATTTTGATTCCATGTCCAACTAACCAAATTTTCTCAGTTTTGGAAAATGTTGCTGCCTAATCTATCTCATCATTTATGTAACACACACATATATAATTGAAGGGGGCGAATTAAAATGCTTAAGGTCAATTTATGCTCACCTATCTTAACCACCTTGTTTTCTTCTATCTGTCCTTTGCCAATAAAATACTCACTGGGTTACTGTAATGTAAACCAATCACACTCTTGCTTACTTCACCACATTTTTTACGATTTTTTCCCATCAATCACTGTGGCTCACAAAATTTCCCATATATATCCTATGCCATTGCCCTGCACCACACAATTTTAAATTTTTCTCTCGTTTACTTTAATTTTAATTATTTAACCATATATTCATTTTTACATCATTTACAAAATATATTTTTTTACATGATTTTTGAGAACCCGACAAAGTTCCAAGTTAGCACAAACAAAAGGTCCAAACAGGACCAGAGAGCGTAATAAAGTACGCATTTATCACCAATGACTAAGAACCAAACCAGCAGAGAAAGTACGATTCAAGCCAACTGTCTCCTTTGACAATAAGCTGCATGTTAAAGCAATCAACCAACTTCGATGTAATGCATGTAATATTGTTATATTTTTGTTATTGTGGTGTTTTTATCATTATACATGAACTATAATTAAAGTTTTATTTCTCTATTGCGATAGCTATTGATTGCATTGTGTTCACTTGCAATGTGAATGACCAACTTTTCTTTCTTTTTCCAACGAAAAAAGCAAAGCAAATAGATATGTAATAGCCAAGGAAGGAAGCCATGATGAGGTAAAGTTAGTTTAGTTGCTAGAACATATAGGACCCACCATGCCATTTAACCAGTCATATTTTTGCATGTTAAAATTAATATAAACTTCACTGTGGTCGTTGATCATCAAGCTTAATAAATAATTATATGTGTCCAGGGCACGTGTCTTTGATTTTTCTCTCTATAGTTTTTCCATGGAAGTTTCCTTAGTGGATACAAACCCAGTGCTGCAAAAATCCGAAACTAAATTGTATGTAAAGACACTACAACGTTGTGAGTGTGTGAGAGTGAAGTGGGAAAAAGCATAGCAGATCCTTCCCGCACATTATTATCTTATCTCAATTTCTAGTTTCCGAGACATCATTTTTGTGTACATTAATCTTTGAATCTGGGATGCTCCAAACTCCTAGAATTTTACTGTTTTTTACAACCTTGATCTAACTCAGTATCCATCCATATCTACATACACTTTAAAGGGGTTAACTGAAAAAAAAAAAAAAAAAAAAACCCACTTCCGAGAACATAGCAGGAACAGCAAGAAACAAAGGAACTTCGCTGGTGGGGGAAAAGCTGGTCATATTTTACTGTTTTTTTTTTCTGCTTTTTCTTTTCTGCTGTGGATGTCTGACTGATATAAGCTCATTTTCTTTGACTGCATTGCAACTTGTGGGGTGACACCAAATCATTGCATTCTCACTTTTGTCTGGAAAAGTTAGGGTCTTTTGAATTTACATTTGCTCATTCCCTTGGTTGAAACTCAAAACCCCCCTTTCAGCTTTTTGAGATTGGTGGGGGGGAAACTCCTGTTAGGGCTTGATTCTCATTCGCTGTGGCGTTTTGAATTGCAAGAAAATGAGGGAAAATGGTGTTGTGGCAATTGAGGGAATGTGAGGTGGAGGAAGGGGAAAAAGAAGAAGAAGAAAAGACGGGGTTGAGTAAATGAGTGTTTTGAGACATGGGGTGTGTGTTTGGGAAAGGAGCGTCGAAGAGGAGAGAGGAAGTGAAAGTTGAAAGCGCAGAAGAAGAGGGTGCTGTTCAGAACGGTGGGAATGTGAAGGAGGGCGGAGAAGAGGAAAAGAGCAAGCCCTCAAAGGGGGAGAGAAGGCGATCTTCGAAGCCGAATCCCAGGTTAAGCAATCCACCTAACCATGTACATGGTGAGCAAGTAGCTGCAGGGTGGCCCTCTTGGCTCACCAAGGTTGCTGGGGAAGCTATTAACGGGTTGATCCCTAGAAGAGCTGACACTTTTGAAAAGCTGAATAAGGTATGGAGGTTAATGACTGCTTTGCTTTCTTTTCCAGTTCAGGTATGTGGAGCTTGGTTATTTTTATTTCAAATTTGAAGATTTTATTGCTTATGTTGTTTTGTTTTCAAATGTAAGCAACATCTAGCAATAAGAATTCTGTGATTTGGTTTTTTCTGTCATCTTGTAAGTTATTAATTGAAAGCCCTTCTATTGAAATGTTTGTTCTGGTAAAGTTAACAAATATCTGGTCTGTGACTGGCCTTTTTGGACTATTTTTCCATCAGGTTGGACAAGGTACATATAGCAATGTTTACAAAGCGAAGGACACTTTGACAGGGAAAATTGTTGCCCTAAAGAAGGTCCGCTTTGACAATTTAGAGCCGGAGAGTGTGAAATTCATGGCCAGAGAGATCCTTATTCTGCGCCATCTGGATCATCCCAACGTTGTCAAACTGGAAGGTTTAGTGACTTCAAGGATGTCATGCAGTTTGTACCTTGTGTTTGAATACATGGATCATGATTTGGCTGGACTTGCTACAAGTCCAACAGTAAAGTTCACAGAGTCTCAGGTATTTACATATTGTAAAATCAAGAACTGGGGTTGGTTGAAATTTATGATTCAAATCAGTCTTCTGTTTCTGATTTGGAACTTCTTTTCTTGATCATGTCTGGGTGGGTGTTTTAGGTTAAATGCTATATGCATCAGCTACTTTCTGGACTGGAACACTGTCACAACCGTCATGTGCTGCATCGTGATATAAAGGGGTCAAACCTTCTAATTGACAATGAAGGAATTCTTAGGATTGCTGATTTTGGATTAGCTTCCTTCTTTGATCCTCATCAAAGGCACCCTATGACCAGCAGGGTGGTAACTTTATGGTATCGACCTCCAGAGCTTCTGCTTGGAGCCACAGATTACGATGTAGGAGTGGACCTCTGGAGTGCTGGCTGCATTCTTGCTGAATTGTTGGCTGGCAAGCCTATTATGCCTGGTCGAACCGAGGTAATCTTTGAATGATTCATTGCATTTTATAATTTCTCTTGGAGAACCTTTCAAGAACATTAGACTTTTCACTTTACTAGTAAATGGTGCAAGAGTTTGTTACTCATGCTGTGAGGTTTGTGCTTCTGATTTTGTTGATACATATCCACCGTGCTTCATAGGTGGAGCAGCTACATAAGATATTTAAGCTTTGTGGTTCTCCTTCTGATGAATATTGGAAAAAATCGAAGCTTCCACATGCTACCATTTTTAAGCCCCGACAATCATACAAGAGGTGCATAGAAGAGACATTTAAGAATTTCCCAGCATCATCCCTGCCACTGATTGAGACCCTTCTTGCAATTGATCCAGCTGAACGCCAAACTGCCACAGCTGCATTGCACAGTGAAGTAAGATACAATTTTATCACTAGCTAATCCTGTGAAATCACTTATTTCTGCTATTTTCTTAAAATATATGTGAAGGATTGCTACATCTAAGTCTAACGTTAACTGCTTCTGTTTTGCAGTTCTTTACTACAAAACCTTTTGCCTGTGAACCCTCTAGCCTTCCAAAATATCCTCCCAGCAAGGAGATGGATACAAAACTGCGAGATGAAGAAGCTAGAAGGTGGATAGCTTAAATTGCTAGAACTCTCAATTATCTTTTGAATTCTTGTTTGCATAAAAATCTGACGAAGTTTGCATGTTACGTCGCTTTGCCATGACTGTAGATTGAGAGCTGCTAACAAAACTAGTGCCGATGTAAAGAAATCACGTCCACGTCATAGAGGTGGAAGGGGAATTCCAATTCCAGATACCAATGCCGAGTTGCAAGCAAATATTGATGTATGTCAGATAAGCACCTCATTCATTTATGCAGATACTTTTTGTCTTGCTGAATATTTTATTCTTCTTATGGATAAAGCGATTGCTAAAACTTTTATCTTCATTTGCATCTATCTGTCTAAATTTTCATAATATACATTGATATATACAATGTGGTTGGTTCATATGAGAGCTTAGTTTTGTGTCTGAATGCTGTAGTAATGATTTAACTGTTGAATCAGAAATGGCGACTGGTGACACACGCAAATGCGAAGAGCAAGAGTGAAAAGTTTCCTCCTCCTCATGAAGATGGAAGTATAGGGTACCCTTTGGGTTCTTCACATCACATGGATCCAATTTTTGATCCTTCTGATGTTCCATTTAGTTCCACAAAGTTATCATATCCAAAATCAAATATCCAGACCTGGTCTGGTCCCTTGGTGGAAACTAGTGTGGATGCACCAAGAAGAAAGAAGAACATGCCAGGGAATGGCCGCACACATTCAAAGAATGGCTCTTATAGATAAATGCTGTCAAAGATTATTCAAAATAATTTAAGAATTTCAATACAACACCAATTATTTTTCACAAACATTGGTGTTTGGTGAAGCTGCAAAAGTGCTGCTGTTCTATTTTCTTGCTTCTGGTAAAGCCATTGGCACCCCAGAGCTACATGATATTTTATCTTTCTCAATGATCAAGGGTTTATTCCCTATCTTGTATAATGATCATACATATTGTACGCATAATCTTGGTTATGCTGAATTTTATACAGATTTTTCATTTATAGGCTTTTTTATTATTCTTTTTTCAGCTTTGTATAACACATTATTCATGCATGATTCACTTTCTAGTTACTTATGCATTTACCACAGAATATAATTCGACTTTTTATTTTTAGATACTTATGACTATAAAATAAAATCATTAAAAACGATTTGGTATATGAAAAAAGAAATCATTTTATTGAGTATTTATTATATTCATGTATCTTTTATGATTATCTAATATGTGTGCCCACAGGATTCATACATCTGGAACTATTGAATAAGAATCAAAATTAATATTATGTAATCACTTTATATGGTTTTATGTTGAAGAGGAATATCCTTTTTTTCAAGTATTTATTACAATTAGAATATATTTTTACTGTGATTTAATGCTGAAAAGTTATTTCTAACTAATATTGTATATTTTATTTGTTTGATTCTAACTAATGTTATATTTCATTTCTTAAAATGTAAAAAAAAAAATCTATTTTATATCTAATGGGAATATTATCAATATGCTGCTGAAATTCTTAATTATATGCATACTTTAAGACTATATATTTGTTTAAGATCCGATATAAATTTAGGAGGGCCTATGATAAAAATAAAAACTAAATTGGTATAGAAAATTTTGTAAAAAATATACTTAATATAGTGAAAATATGGTTACATGATGAGATATGGAAGTCCACAAGAGGGATTCATATCTATTGTTTGTTTGGAATAAAAGTAGAAAATTAATTGTTAGACTCTCCATAAAAGAGCCTTAAATTTAATAATGGTTTTTTATTTATGTAAAAAAAGTATAAATAAACTGGAAATGAATAGAATAAACAATTGTAGTTATTCTTTGAGGTGAAAGACATTATCTGTTAGGGCTATTTCTTGAATATTTTCTATTTTATAAATAAAAAATGACAATCCTCAAAACTGATCAAATTTTATTGTTTGTGTTGTTTATTTTTATGTTTTTTTTTTCAGTCTAATAGCAGCTTTGCAAGTTATAATTTTTATTTTCTCAATTTCACAACTTGTAGGTTCTATCATTGAAAACATTATCTCTAAATTTCATATATATTAATATTTGTTCATATAATTTTATTAATAAATATGTCAACACCGTCTAAAATTTACTAAAACTAAACCTAATACTCATTGTTTGGTATCAAGAACATGTTATTAGAATTTTATTTTGGACTTCAATTTGATTAAGAAACTGTTTTGTTTTCGAAAACACAAACGCAACAAAAAGAAAAAATTGCTGTTTCTGGTAAGTTTTCAATGTTTTTATTATTATGTATATATAGCAAAATAAATAAAATAAAGTATACGCAACTAAGTGTCTTTATTCTAGTTTTAATTCATTTTTATTTTGTTTTGTTTCATTTTGATAGATATTGCGTATTGTCTCTCTGCCTTATAATTTTGTTTGATTTGTTTGCATTTTTTTCCAATATAATTTTTCTTATTTTTATTTTTGTTATGTTTGTCGGTAGTAAAATTGTCATTTAAACCTTTTCAGAGCCACTTCTAAAAGTAAATTTTTATTATAAATTATTTACTTTTTGTAGAAAACCCGAGTATATAGTAAAAAACAAGATAAGGGTGCTTCATTGTAAAAAATTAATAATTTGAATATAAACACGAAACCATCATAAAGTGTAAACAGGTGAAAATAATAAAGTTGATTTTTTTTTTTAATCTGAAGTTCATCAAGAATACATGGTGATCAAGCTACTAATTAATGTTATGATTACACATATACAAAGATGAGTATTATTTTTAACTTCAGTGAGTTGGTGTAAACATGATGAAATTATGTAAATAAATATAAACATATATAAAATTTAGAAGAAGATGTTAGATTTAAAACTTACAGAATTGATAAATATAAATTTTGACATACACAAATACAATTAGACTAAAAAGACATAAAAATAGGTATTAAAAATAAAACTCTTATAATTTTTTAAGACCCTCAGAATTTTATTTTTTTAATAAGATCAAAATAGTTCAAATAATACAAAGAATTTGTCTCGCCTCAATAGTAACTAAACATTTGTTTATTCCATTCATTTTTCTTAAGAATTTTTATTTCTTAATTGCTTAATTAATTTTATATTTGAAAAGTTTTATCCTCTAAAATGTTTTTATTCTATTATAATTTCAATTATATATTTGTTTTTTATATGATTTTAGTTAATAATGTATTAAATTGTTTATAACATATATTTAATTATTTTTATTTTCTTAATAATTTTATTTATTGTTTATTTTTATCATGCAAAATATTGTTTTGATATTTTTTATATAATTATTTTTATTTTCTAACTAGTGTAATTTTATCATATTTAATAGAAGATAATCTTTAATGATATATTTAGAAAATGCAACTTAATATAACTTACCATAATCATGTTACTTGGTTAACTTGGAAATTAGTCTAGTCTTCATCTATATAATACTATGTTAAAACGATTGAATCAATTTCATAAAATTTAATTTGAATTAACTACTTTTTTGGATGTTTTATATTAAAATTAAGTTAATAAGCTCTTCATATTCACTTACCATTATTTAATATATTTTTACACTATAATATATATATTTATTGTATTTTATCAAGTGTTAAATTTCATTTATAACATCCGAGGGAGGAAAGTCTTTAAAATATGTAAATCAAGTAATAATTTATTTAAATGATATTTAATTTAATATTTACCTTTTAATCTCATTATTCTGGTAATTTTAATTATTTAAAAAACATTAATGTCTTAAAAAGTAAAGATAATCTTTATTTATAATATAAATATAAAATAATTATTATTTCATTATCTCACATTTCAAAATTACACATATATGACATAATTTCCATTAACTTTTTAAGATAAATTTCTCCTATAATATTATAAATTTTTAATATAAAATAATAAATATTCATGTACATAAATAGTCAAATGCTTGCACATCAAAATTTTGAATTGATTTATAATAAATTAAAAACCTAAAATCTTCTTCTACAAAACTAAACAAACAATTAAATATTATATATATATATATACATATATATATATATATATGTATATATATATATATATAATATTATAAAAGATATATTATTTTTATTTAATTTGTTATTATTTTTCTTTATATTTTGATTTGATTTTATATTTATTTTATTATTATTATTTATTTGTATTTTAGATTTAGTTGATATTTATTTTATTATAAATAAAATATTTTATAGATACATGACAAACCATATAAATACTGAAAAGATACTAACATTCATTCCAGTTCCCATAACCCTAGTCTGAGGACACAATCTTCACCCAGGTGAGTTCTATGCATTTTTGTTGTTTCTGATTTCAGTTTGGCTGAGTCCGTTTTTTATTGTTTTCCAATTCAGTTTAGTTGAACGCATTCCCCATAACCCTAATCTGAGGACACAATCTTCACCCAGGTGAGTTCTATACATTTTTGTTGTTTCTGATTTCAGTTTGGTTGAGTCCTTTTTTTATTTATTTTTGTTTTCCAATTTTTTTTTATTAGGTTGTAATTTTCCAATACTAGATTTTAGGGTTACGGAGGGACTCACGAAGATGAAGAACAAAAAACGAAAGAGTAGTGTTGCGGCAGAGAGTGATGAAGTTGTTGAAGATTTGGGACGTGTGATCCACGAGCATACCATTTTCTTTGACAAGTTGATTGAGTTGATTCCTGCCAAATTTTATCTGCCTACTGATGATAAGGAGAAGCCATGGTTTCAGGGTCTCAGCAAGGTTGCAAAGGCAGAAGCGAAGAAAGAGACTAAGGAGAATATCAAGAAGTCTAGAAGGGACCGTTTGGATCCCGACAAATCCTCTGCGACTACCCTTGACCTTCTCAAGGAAAGTTTGGGAAAAGAAAAGGTGGATGACAGTGATGGAGTGCAGGTGGCAGCAGTGGCTAAACCTCTTGTGTCTGGATTGGAAGGAGATGATCGGTCTGTGACTTATGAAGAGCTACGGCAAAGGCTTCATCGCAAACTTGAAGAGTTTCGGGCAGGTCGGAACCTTGGGAACGCGGAGAAGAAGAGGGAAGAAAGGAACGCCAAGAGAGGATATAAGGACAATAAACGGAAGAGGGATGAAACTGAGAAGGGTGACAATGTGAGTGGTGAGTTGGCGGAGAAAGTGAAGAAAGATGCTGCAGAGGCTTCCAAGGAGCTTGTGTTTGGCCATGTCAAACTTCAGAATGAAGAAATGCTAGGGAAGAAGAAGAGGAAACTTTCAAAGCATAAGGAACTTGAAAGGGCTAAGAAGTTGGAGGAAGTGAAAAAGAATGATCCTGAGAAGGCTGAAGTATTTGCCAAGAAGCAATCGTGGAAAGCAGCAATGGATAGAGCATCAGGGGTTAAGGTTCACGATGATCCCAAACTGCTAAAGAAAAGCATTAATAAGGAGAAGAAGAAACAGCAGAAGAATTCAGAGAAATGGAAAGATAGAATTCAAACAAGGGACCAATTGAAGGCGGAGAAACAGAAGAAAAGGTCAGAGAATATATCTGCCAGGATTCATGAGAAGAAAATGCGAAAGATTGCCAAAAGAGAGAAAAAGCTTATGCGACCAGGTTTCGAAGGTCGCAAAGAAGGTTTTATGAATGAGGGTGGTGCCACCTAACATGATTTTGAAGTTTATTGATTTGTACCTTTTCTTTACATTGTTGTTTTCTAGCTTTAGAAGAATTAGTGTTAGAGAATGACAATTCAAGGCCTGGAAAAGGTTCACCTATCAATTTCTGTTTGCTTGATCATATTTCTTGAAATGAAACATATTTTATTTTCTATTATGATCTATATTGGCATATCATATTCTGAAAAATTGCTAGCTCTTGTAACTAAACGAGACGTTGCTGTCGAAGACCCTTAGTGTACCGGGTTTGGTCTCAAATTTGTGTTCAATTCAGGGATGTCTCCTTTGTTTGGATACGAATTTAAGATTCATTGTAGTTGAGGAAACCGATACATGTTTCACCGAACTGATGCTTTAATCTGAATGAATTTGATTAAATGACTCACTGCAATTTCAATTGCTCTTTTATTCTTTAACGGTTCCAGGTTTCAAGTGAAGAAGAAACAATTTTTCCGCAACTTTATGACTATTATGCTCTTTGGTGCAGTTGGTACTTTGATATCATTCTGCATCATATCACTGGGTAATTGAAGTCATCCACTGATTCTTCTTTTACGACAAATTACATTACAAAGTTACATCAAATCATATTTGGTTGTGTTGTCCAAATTTGTTTTTAAGTTTTATTGATTTGAATAGGTGCCATACATTTTTTTCAAAAGTTGAACATCGATTCCTTCAAGATTGGAGATTTTCTTGGTGTGCTTAAATTTCCTCCTCCCTTTACAATAATTTTTTGGAATTAACTGCAAACTTAAAACATTTCCTATATCCTCCTATCTCTACTTACCTGAGTCAACTGAATGGAGCAATTGGAGCAATATTTTCAGCAACAGATTCAGTTGCACGTTGCAGGTATATAAATGTCTGAAGAAACACTGTAAACTTTCTTTCTTTCCCCTTACAGACACTGAAAATGATCGTATGTATTTGTATGCTTCAGGTTCGTTGCTGTTGGCACTTATTCTAGTGGGAAGAGCTGCATTTGTTTTCCCTCTGTCCTTCTTATCCAACTTGTTTAAGAAGTCTCAATCTGAGAAAATTGAGTTAAAACAACAAGTATGTGGTTTCCTTTTGATGACCTTGTCAGGGTGTTGATAACTGAGGAGTTTAATATTCTTGTCGTGATTTTGTTTCTCAGGTAACAATTTGGTGGGCTGGTCTCATGCGTGGAGCAGTTTCTATCGCACTTGCTTACAATCAGGTGAAGGAATCAAACTTCATTGCTTTCAATTCTTCTCCTCTATGGCTAAGTTGTTGGGTCTTTTTCACTAAATAATTACTTTTTCACACGCAGTTTACTCGGTTGGGCCATACTAAATTGCGTGAGAATGCCATCATGATCACTAGTACCATCACTGTTGTACTCTTCAGCACATTGGTTAGACGCTAATCTTCTCTTGATCAGAACATTGGTTGCTTGAGGAAGTTAAATTAGTACATAGTCTAAAATTAACACTTTTATCTGGTACTAGTTAGTTAATCTGTGAGTTAGAGTTTTTCAATGGAGTAGTAGTTCCTCAAGTAATGAAATGATGGTTGTCCAGTTTGGTAGGAGTTCCCAATGGTTGAACATGAGAAAACATAGTTTCTTGGTGGATTTGGAGAAGTGTCATTTTTCTTTTAATGAAAAGGAAAGTGTTGTTTGATAGGTGTGATTCCCCAATGATAAAATGGAGTATGAAAAAGCGATGAATAATGGTTTTGAAATGATGTGCAGGCATTTGGGTTGATGACAAAGCCACTTGTAAGGCTATTGCTTCCTTGCGTCCCCACCATCGACACCAAAATCATTCACAGTGCCACTTCTTGGCAGTGGAAGAGAGGATTCATCAAGGACCAATGGTGGCACCCCAAATTAATATCGTGGAGTGTATAGAAATGTGAAGTTCATTCTGTGATAGCAGACAAACAACAACTAAGCACAGTTGTTTGCAGGTTCCCATTCATGTTACCTCAGTACTAGGTACAATTTTGATTCCATGTCCAACTAACCAAATTTTCTCAGTTTTGGAAAATGTTGCTGCCTAATCTATCTCATCATTTATGTAACACACATATATAATTGGAGGGGGCAAATTAAAAGGCCCAAGGTCAATTTATGCTCACCTATCTTAACCATCTTGTTTTCTTCTACCTGTCCTTTGCCAATAAAATACTCACTGGGTTACTATAATGTAAACAAATCACACTCTTGCTTACTTCACATTTTTTACGATTTTTTCCCATCAATCACTGTGGCTCACAAAATTTCCCATATATATATATATATCCTATGCCATTGCCCTGCACCACACAATTTTACATTTTTTCTCTCATTTACTTTAATTATTTAACCATATATTCATTTTCACATCATTTACAATATATTTTTTTACATGATTTTTGAGAACCCGACAAAGTTCCAAGTTAGCACAAACAAAAGGTCCAAACAGGACCAGAGAGCGTAATAAAGTACGCATTTATCACCAATGACTAAGAACCAAACCAGCAGAGAAAGTACGATTCAAGCCAACCGTCTCCTTTGACAATAAGATGCATGTTAAAACAATCAACCAACTTCGATGTAATGCATGTAATATTGTTATATTTTTGTTATTGTGGTGTTTTTATTTCTCTATTGCGATAGCTATTGATTGCATTGTGTTCACTTGCAATGTGAATGACCAGCTTTTCTTTCTTTTTCCGACGTAAAAAGCAAAGCAAATAAATATGCAAAAGCCAAGGAAGGAAGCCATGATGAGGTAAAGTTATTTACTAGGATAATTGTATTACTACGACAGTAAGGTCCGTGCTTCTTGTCTTATTGGAAATTTATATATTTTGATAAATCTGTTCTTAGCCAGGGGGGAAATAAAGCAAATACCAGGGGACAACTTCTTTACTCCTACAAATTTTTGTTCTATTTTGTTTCCCAATGAATCATTTTCATCAACTAGATCATTTCTTAAACAATTTAGCATACGCAACCTAGTTTTCTTTTCCTGGCACTAGATGATGCTAACATTTATGTCACTTTTCCAGTAGTTGTTTTCCTTCAAGTGTGGTGCACTCCCACAACCATTAAATAATAATATTCATAATGCAATTCATGAACTGTAAGATGATGCAATTCTTTTGTACAAATCTTCTAGCTGTTGGATTAACAGATTCTTTAATTTCTTGATAAGCATTCAATTTCCTTCTTCAATTCCATTTTTGCACTGATTATATTCTGTCTATGGCAGCTCAATTTCACTTTTAATGTTGTCATTCCAGGATTTGTAAATTTGATTGAAGTTTCAACGTGCAACATTTTTGACACTATATCCTACTTTTCTTACAGAAAGCGTACGATAACCAGTTTACATATTTTTGTGATATCAACGTGTTTAATTTCTGCGCACTTTCATTTCAGTGGACATAAACCTATAAAAAAAATCGTAATAAAGATTATTTTAAATAGCTATCATAAAAATATACAAATTTATCATAATTTATTATTAAATGATAGCCTGAAATCAATTGCTCACGAGCTACTAAACCCAAATAGTTTGTCTTGATTAGGGATGATAACGGGTCGAGTATCCGTAACTTGATCTGTCGAATAAAATTGTATCCGTTATCCGATTTGTTATCCGTTGAGTATCCGTTTAAAAAATATTCGCAGATATTTTAAAATCTGTGGGTACTCGTGAATACTGTAAAAAATAAAAAAAAAATTTAATATATTTTTAAAATAAAATTTAAATGAAATTACATAAAAAAAGTATATATATATATATAATATAATATAAATTAAATTAAATATAAATTAAATTTTGATTTTAATTAAATTTAACTTAATAAAATATAATTTTATTTTATTTTAATTAAATTTAGCTAAAATATATATAAATTATTTTTTTTAATTTTTTGCAGGTAACGGGTACCTGCGGGGCGGGTAGTATATTACCTTTATTCAACTCGTTTAGAAGTGGATATTGAAATACCTGTTATTCGTTATCTGCGGATAGTAGATATCTACGGATAGTTATTATTCGTCGTAGATTTTATCCGTAGACACCCGTATCCGTGGATAAAATTGTCATCCCTACTAGTCTTGATCTAAAACAGAGAATGAGTACAGCATTAATTTATTAAGAAAGGAATGCTAATTTGATAACACCAAGTTGTGATAATTTGGGAAAACATTTGCTATAAAAAAATTCTTTATAATGCAGTAATAATATCCCTTACTTTTACGCATTAAGTAAAAAAGTAATATCTTTTACATAACAAGGGTATATATGCAATCTTAGAAACACGGTTTAATTATTGCTATAAATAGTAAAAAGATTAAGCAAACTTTAATTGTTAATTACAGACATGAGGGCAAATGTCCATTATTTAATCGGAGGAAAACTGCGAAACGGAAGAGATACTTTTTGGATAATGTTAAAGAACATGTCTTTTGCACTTGTAGGAAACTAGAAACAAATGAAAGGCAAAGGTATGAAAGAATAAAACATATACGCACACAACAGGGAACTAGATACAAATATTGAAGATGTTATACAAATGAGTCAAAAAATTATCTCTGAAAAACAAACAACCGTTCACATCCACTTAAGCACACTGCTAAAGGTCACGCTTGAATGAAAGCCAACATGATCAAAGAAGCAAATATGACAGTTACAATAAAAAAGACTACACAGAATTAACATAATATCTAAATGGACCGCTAAGGCTTTGAATAAGCAAATTTATCAACATAGCTGAAACCCACTTTACACAGAAACAATATGGTCACATGATCAATAGAAGGAAGAAAAAAAAAAAAAAAGCTAACAATTGCTACCAGTTAGGCTGCTGAAAACACCCTCTACCTACCTTCTCTAGCTTTCTCTTTATCCATTTCTTGTCCAAGCTATGTTCTGATTTTAGAACGTTGAGCTTGGAGATGAATACCTGTTCAAAGATGCTTCAAACATGCATCATTCGCAAGCAACCGTGGTAGCAAAGCTGCTGAGGCAGATTGCAAATGCCTGAAATGCTGAGATAGGGTACCGGTAATCCATTGTAAACAAGTCCTTCCCAACTTTTCCAAATTGGAGGATGACATCATCCTCTTGTGGTTCAGCATGTCCATTTACTGGCAAAGCAGCCAGCTGAAAGTTTTTAACTGAAGCAACTGTCACTCGCCCATGAAAGTTTAAGCACCAACACTGCATCTGCTCATGCCACCTGGCAGCCTTATTTCTCAACACTAGAACGTCATCTCTTTTATTGTTCTGCTCTCCAGATATGGAGTTTTCCATATGAGTTGAGTTTGTCTGAAAAAATGGGAATGAAGTACCTAAGTTACTAACAGAATAACTGGTCTGTGAAGGAGCTACCCGTTCTGGTTCAATAGCAGAAGCAGGAATGCTATCTATGACACAATGCATTCTCCTTGGCCCCCTGCTTGCCATGAACATGTCGTAAGTATTGTTTAGTGTGTACATAAGAAAAATTCAGTTAGTTGATATGCTTTCAGCAGAAATATCCACAACTCAAATCATTATTGGTTTGTCAAGCAAAAGAAAAACATGAAGGACAATCATAGAAGTGTATAATTGCAAAAAAAATAAAAGCTTTACCTGGAGCCTAATACATTCAATTCATATGAGATATGGGCAACTGGGTAGTTGCCTGTAGGGACCTTGGGTGAAACTTGTTTTTGATTCACCAGCTTAGTGGAGCAACTTTTTGCCATATTTGCCCTTGAATGAGGCAGTTGGACATCGTAGACTGTGAACTTGGTTCCCAAAAAATTTGATCTTACCAAATGTGAAGGAAAATGGGTTAGTCTTCACCCTTGGAAACTAAAAAGAACAACAATAGAAACAGCGCCTAATTGAAAGTGCACCTCAATTTCCCTATGTAGGCATTGCTTTCCCTGGACATGTAATCCGCATCCAGGGAGATAATATAATCTGTGCAGGTTGGGCGTCTGAACTTTCGCGCGGCTAAAAGGAATTTCCCATCATCAGCTAGTGCTGCAAATGAAAAAGATAGTGGCCAAAAGGAACATACAATAAAACACAGAGAATCTGAAATATAACCAAGTTAGTTTGGAGGACAACATTAAACAATGAACTGAGAAAGAACAAGAAAGAAACATTATATTATCCTCCAAAACTAACTAAGAATTTTGCACAAGGGAATCAAGAATAAGCTCGACTATTGACCAATCACTAACCACTAGATAAACTGAGAAACAGGTAATATGTCTGTGTGCCATTGTCGCGCCTAATGAAGCACTGAAGTAGATGTTCACTTGGGCCAGGCTGCCAAAATGTATTTACCAACTCAGGTTATGTTAAAGCAGTGCAACTTAAAAATAACAATACAAGGAAGACAAAAGTCTAATTTCAAAAATCCAACTCATAAATCACTAAACAAATGTGTTCTTTGTATCTTAAATTTCTTATATAACCACACATGTCTAGCTGCAAATCTCAATAAAAAAATTCGATCTAACCTAAAACTAACTAATGCTGCTTTAATATAATGAATTAATGAACTAGAATCATTTCCTTATGGTGAAACTAAATACACGAATATTTATTAGCTAGTACTTCAAGTGGTTCTGGATCAAGTATGGTGAATCCTGAAGAAAATAAATAAAGGTTGAAGAGTAAAGCCCATCTAACTGAAATTGAAGAAATTTGAAAGGAGAGCATGTGCAGTAACCTGTTTGAGAGAGATGGGGAATGTTATGTTGGAAGAGAGTTGAGGTGGCTTGACAATCTCCTTGATGATGAGCCTCCAGGTACGGCAGACTCCGGCGCAAGCCACCACGCTTCTCCGCCGTGGCCACTTGGCCTCCGACGACTCAATTCGGAGGAGGACCTCTCTGAGAAGCTCATGGGGCATGTTGGCCCACCAACTCTGCTCCAACCCTTCATCCATGGAAGGCACCACACACATCCCTTTTGGGAAAAGACTCCAATTTCAATGATGGGTCAGTGTATTGCTTGACCGTTGATTAAGGTGGGAGGAGTGTCATTTTTCTACAGAAATATCTTTTTGGTGGAGAAAAACTCGAATCCTTTATGGTTTGGTCTATTCCAGAATGTGACAAGAGGGTTACCAGTTATTGTTAGTTAAAGAAAGAGAAAACACAAAGAAAAAGGTAAAATTGTTGACAAAAACAAGTCTCATGGATTGATTAGATACCAAGGATAATACAAGATTTGGATCGAGCTAGGGCACAATTCCAGTATTTTCCAAATTTAATCTGCTTTTAGGTTACTCTAAATTAAATTAAACTAAAACTCAAATTAAAATTTTCAAAAATAAAATTATTTTAATTTAATTGAATGCTAGAGATTAGAAAATATGCTTTGAGATAGGATGTTTATTAATGCTATTTCAAAATAATTCAAAAACAAATTTTGGAAAATTTGGGTTTAGTTTAATGAACCAAGAAAATGAATCTCAAACTACAAGAGACATTGCACCACCAAAATATCTACATGGAAGTCAAGATAAGATTTATATATATAAGTGGTGATAAGATTTAATGTCTTTTCTTTCACACCATTGATAAGAAAAATAACATCATTACTTTGTTAGATTTAATAATTGAACATTGAAAATAAATGAATTAGAATCCAAAAATGTAATGAGAAAAATTCATAAGAACAATATTGCAACAGTGAAAATGAATAGTAATGGGCACTCTATGTTTATATCACTCTCTCTCCATAATAAAAGAAAAATATTCTCTGATCAACTACATTGGTATATAATTATTCTGCATAAGCATAAGTATGATTTTGAAAACTCAAAATTATGAATTGTGTCTATCGTGCATAATTTTCTCCATCCATCTTCTCATTCAACTTCTATGATGATAACGTGTTATGCCCTTTTCATCTTATTTTCAGAAAAAATCTCTGAGAAATAATTTAGTTTCATTTATTTGAAAATATGTTTATATTTAATGTCTAACTATAAACATGATTGCAAATCAATTTTCTCAATCATTAACAAAATTTAAATAAAATTAATAAAATTAATAAAATTAAAATTTGTATGCTACAACTATAATGTTGATTGTTATTACTATGATACTGAAAATAAAATATTTATTTTTCTCACTTAATTATTTATCTAAATTCATTATATACTGAAGTGAATGACTGTATAAAAATACATTGTTAAGGGCATCATAATTCTATTATAATTTGCATCTGCTCATGATGTTGTATTCTTTAGAATTTACTAACAAGAATTGTTATAATTATTATCATTTGTTTTATCTTTTCTTCTTAAGTCATCCTAAAATTGGACACGTTCAATATTTCTGGTTAATTAAACGAAGGTGTTAAAATAGAAATAATGTGTTGTATATGTAGGTAGAGTTTATTTTGATAGAGATTAATTTAACTTGATATAGAGATTAGTGTAACAGGTTGAATTCAACATTCAACAATTTGAATATTATTTGAATTTGAATTTTTGTTGTCATAATTCTTTTTTTATATTTTAATTAAATTAAAACAGAATTTTTTAAAAATAGAATGTAAAAAATATTAATATTATTTTGATTTAATTAAGTTTTAAGTATCTAACAAATTTAAATATTTTTTTTATTAAGTTCATATTAAAAAAATTGTTCAATTGAATGTTTAAAATATTTTTTATTTTAGTTTAGTTATTTTGTGCTTTATTTTTATCTTAACTGAATAATATAATAATTATTCTTTTTTTTCATTTCATAATTGTTGATAAACTCATTCATTTTCTCTTTCATTATTTTTAGTTTATGAATTAAAACTATTTCTTCAAGAACAAGTTGACTATTATCTTAAAAGAAATTGAAGAAAAAAATATACAAATTCATTTATGAGTTAGGACAGAAAACGAAAGTAACAAACAATTTATTTTATTAATAGTAAAATAAAAATATTACGTACTTGAGTAAAAGTAAAAAAATATTTTAAACATCTCAATATATCAATTTTTTTATATAAATATATGTTAAAATTACTTAAGATTTATTTATTTTTAACCGTTGAAAAGGACAGAGAGACATTCTTTTATTTCTTTCAAGGAAAAGTCAATCCAAGAACTTTTGATATTAATTACACAGATTAACTTCTCTATCATGCTATATCAATATGAACAAAATCATTAGTTCAAGAGACTGGCTCTGGATTCGTTGAATAAAATATTGATTTTAATATCATGGATAAATAAAATTGAGTTTTCAAAATCAGTAATCAGTTTATATCAATAATATAACTATTTAAAAATAAATAAAAGTTCAATATATTTGAAATTACGATTTTAATTTTTGAATTAAAAATAATAATTAATAAAAAAATTATCACGATATAAATTATTTATTATAAATGTAAACAAATAATGTTTATATAAAAATATTATTTTCTAATGGAATTTTATTGTAATATATTTAATATTCATAACCCTTTATTATTGTAAAGTTTAAGTATATAGAACGAATAGACTCTCTTCTTTTGGGTAAAATGTTAATATCAGTTACTGTGTTAAGCGTTTCATTACATGCATGTCTACTTCTTAAAGGTAAATTTTAAAATAAAACATTTATAATTAATTACATAATAAAAAAATTAATTATGTACTACTTTTTGAACTTAAATGTAAGGAAAAAATGCCTAATTTCACACCAACTAAGTTTTTTTACGAGGTTCATCCAATTTTTTCATTTCATAAATTTTTAAATTTCCTTTAATTATATATAGCCAAATTTAAATAAAAGGATATTTCTACAACAATAACGTGGATAACTTAGTGTTTTATATTTAAAATTAAACAAATATAGTTTTTTTAATTCACGCAGAACAGTTTGTCTGTTTTCATTTTTATTTTTTTGCGAAAAATTAAGTGAATGGAAACATAGGTGCATTATTATGAAAAATTATTTCAGCTTCGCATTGCAAATTAAGAACTTCTACGAATAAAACGTTTGGGTATTTCTTTCTCCACGTTCAATTCCCAAAAATAATATGAGGTTGCGTTTCTCTTTTAATTGAATTCAAAATCAGTTGAATAATTTTTTCTTTAACAAAAATTTTGAAATTTGTTAAAAAAATTTAAAATAATTTCAATACATTTCAAAATTTATTGACGTTTTTGAAAAATTTGGATTTTGAAATTTATTAAAGAAAAAAAAATTTAACAAATTTTAAAATAAGGTGTGAGATTTTTTTAATTGGAGAGAGAGAAAAACTTGAAAAAAAAATTATTATTATTTTTTTTACAAATTATAGTTTTAGAAAAGAAAAGTGTGGATGTCTAATAGCAAAGCCCTTAACCTACAAGCAATGACATTATTATATTATATATTTTCAACCCTGTCATTTAATTAATCAGTTCGCATTTTTATTTGAATAACAGCCTACAAATAATTTAAATAGCTATATTTGAGTTCATTGCTAACAAGTTTTTTATTTTTTATTTTTTATTTTTAAAATTTTTTAAACTGATTATATTATTTAATATTTGAATAGTCTAATAACTTAATCTTTGAATAGTTTAATATTCGTTTAAATGATTATTATTTTAATAATTTTGGTTGGATTTTATTTATTCTCAGTCAGGTTCAATTGATAAAATCTGATAACCGTGAGGATTATAACTTTTGCTTGAAAATAAAATGAAAAGAAGATTCAACATTTAGGACATAATTAAAAGAGGTGGATTCTTAGAAGGTATAAAATGATTTAGTGGTAAAGTTAAAAGAGAATGTGAGAAATATTATGAATTAAATTTTCTCGCTAAAAAAACATAAGATTGATTGGAAAATTTTAAAAATATGAATAAGAAAAGTTATATATTTCTTTCACTAACAAAATTACTAATAACTAACAATTGTCGATAAATTAAAAAAAAAATTCATGCAATGATCTTGAATTAATCATCCTTTTAACCAAAGCCAAAGAACATTGGTTGTTTGAGAAACCATATGCAGCGAAATAAAACATAATTATCAGAAATCCGTCAATGGGAAAATAAAACAAACATTTGGTGTGCAGAAGAAAGATGAGTGTATGTTTTGGTGGAAGAATGAACATGCCCTCATTGATGTCTATCAAAAGTTAAAATATGGTTAAGGGTTTTTTCTAAAGGCTTGTCTTTTTGTTTATTTAAAAAGGGAAAAAATGTTAATCTTTGAGCTGTGATGTTTTTTCTTTTATGAATGAAAAAGTATAAAGTTGATATTTTATGATGCTTTATAGTACAAGTTGTTTAATATATATATATTTAAAGAAATTAAATATTGATGATGAATTAAACGGAACAAGTATATTGTCGTTTCTAAGTTAGACAGCAATAATGAGATTGTTTCCATAATGAACTAATTCTGTGGAAATTATAATAATAATGGACTCTGTACAAACCCACCATTCAATTACCGAATAAAATCAAATCTATATAAGTCAGCAATCCAGGACCCACTTATTTGGGATTGTTACACATTATTAGTATTTAAGTTATGAAAATCAATACGTAAAATCCTTCATCAACAAAGTATTTAGAATCATTCAGATAATTATCAATTTTGGATGGCACTTCATTAATACTCATTTTATATCCATTTCAATAATCCAAAAGCAAGAAGGGCATAATCTAAGGTAATGAATCTTATCTTAATTAAATCTTTGTGAAAATTTAAACTAATTTTGAAGATAAACAACAAGTTTCCTAATAGATTGAATTTTTTTTAAGTGTATTATCATCTGAATTTTTGTATATATTAATAAAGTATATGTAAGATAAGTTTGTTCCAATTTTTGTATTGTAATTTTGTTTTATTTTATGTTGAGACTTGAATATTGAAAATAATACTAACTATTTGTAAATAGTTCATTGTTTGATAATAATAATAATAAAGTAAACTTAACAAATTTTATTAAAATGGATTTTAATGTTATATTAGAAAATGAGTTTAGATTTAATTCAACTTTTGAAAAAATTAACATGTAATTTATCTACTTATATGGTTTATCGTATAGTTTTTTTTACTATTTCTTAATCGTTGTTAGATATTAAATAGAAGGTTTGGAATTATTAAATATTTAAATGATGAAAATTGAAAATATAATTAAAACAATATAATGAA